TAGACTCATAGACCATCGCAAGGTTGCACCCATGAAGGTTTCAGACAATAATTTTCACTTCAAGGAGTTAGGTTCTTCAATGATGACATTTATATGTTGATGGAGGCAGTATGTTAATAAGGATCATTACGCCCGTTGATTTTGGATAAAGAGGGAGGTTTGAATCCTTAAAGGACAAACACTTCCCATATATCGTCTGATAGTGGATGAGGATCCAATATTTCTATCTCCTCAGGGAGGGATCAGACCCTTGTTGGCATATTCTTATATTGTGGATGTTGTCCTCCAATGTCTGATTCTGACGATGTAGTTCGTCCACAACTACACGCATCTCCGCCAGGGGGTTGACATTACTGCTAACACTTATATTCTTCATTTTAGGGTATGGAGCTCTCCTGTTAACTATGGATGATGATGGCTAGGTATAGGAGTGAATGGTAGTAAGGAAATTGTGGTGGATAAGATGTGGCCCATGTTAGTTATTTCGGAGCCCCATAGTGGACATCACTATACTGGTCAAAAAGTACAAGCATGCATGGTACCCCTGCGAGGATAGGGGATACACATAGGTTTTGGTAGGTTTATAACAATATAGGGTGGTTAAGGCTTGCCCACGATGGTGAGAAACTCTATACGATGGTGTTACAATGTTTTTAGAGGATCTACTCACGCGAGGCGATAAACTAAATATGTTAGGGTAATGCTTAGGGTATTCTATCAAGTTATGATCTATCCCCTTATTCCATTTTGGATAGAGACTTTATTGAGGTCTTCCGGCCTAAGACTTAGGAAACCCTATGAGGTGGTAACTTTTCCCTTTTTGACTGAGGAAGGTTGTTGACTACCTATTCTTCCATAAGTCACAATATGACTAAATATGCATAACTGATGGAGGGGTAACAACATTGTGCACACGTCTTGTTAGGAAGGCAAGCCCCCTACCACATAAAGGTGGCACGTAGGTGTCACCTCTTTAGGTGGGAACCCTTGCGCCACCTTTATGTGAAGACTATCACAAATGTAACATTACACATGTCAATTAGAATTACCGTTGAGCATTCAGTTCCTCATGTGCATTGAGAAAAATGGTTTAAATTAGTCATTAATCAAACACCTACAATATATTACTAGATCATTAATAAAAGAACTAAACTACCAATTATTGTCTGGATTATGTAATTTTACATTTTGCAACACTCGTCCGCCTACGACAAAGTGTTGATAATAAATACACCTCTTATAAACTTGCAACCGGTAAGGAACCAAATATCTTCCATTTAAAGATTTTTGGTTGTGCAAATATGTTCCAATAGCTCCACCACGAATAACAAAGATGATACCTCAAAATAGGTTGGGAATATATGTGGGGTATGAATCACCGTCTATTATTATATATCTTGAATTTTCAACAAGTGATGTTTTCTATGCAAGATTTGTTGATTGTCATTTTGACAAAACAAATTTTTAATACTAGGGGGAGAAAATAAATAATTGAAAAATGACATAACATGATATGTACCACATTATTACATTTGGATATATTAGAGCTGATAATGAACCAAACCAACTCAAAAATAGTTCAAAATCCGGTTCGACAATTAAATCGTTGAACTAGGTTCATGAAACAAATGAGTTGAATATGAGCGAAAAATTAAGTCCGTTAACTAAATGAGCTGAACTTTAACTATACATAGTTCGACCCGTTAGGTTCATGAGTCAATTCGGTTACATATGAGAAGAATTATACTGTCTTTAAGATTAGGTTTAAATATTTACTTCAAATCTTAGATAAATTTAATCTTAAATTTAGTAGTTTTTGAATTAGACTCTCAAATGTATATCTTGAAAGTTGTGTAGGTTTTGAATTAGTAGATTTCAAAGAGAAAGTTAAATTTCAATATGATAACTTTTATTTTATTTTAATATTTTATTTTTTAAAAAATATAAATTTAAAATGTCAAATATACTAAAAAAATAGATTTAAAAAAATAGCTTTTAAGTCCGTGAACCATGTGAGCTGAACCTAACGAGTTAAACCGAACTACTCGTGAACTTATAACGAGTCGAGTTTGAGCTTTAAAAAAAGTTCGTGTCGAACCGAGCTGAGGTGAGTTCGACTCAAATCGACTCATTTCCAGCCCTAGACATATATAATAAATCATGGGAAGAAAATATAAAGAAAATAGTGCACTTACAAAATCTAGCAAATCAATTGCCATATTCATTTAATGATTTAAAAAGAGTGACAAAGTCACATGTACCAGCTAACTGTAAATGTCCTAGCCCGAATTGAGATTTTGAAGCTAAAGGATGTAGCAAGTACATCTAAGGCACACTTGAAGCATGGCTAACCTATTGGATTCAAAGACAAAAATCCCCGAAAAAATAAATTAGAAAAGTTAAATATGATTGAAAGTGATCTTAAAAAGACACTATATAATAATAAATTAATGAATGAAAATCATACACTTGAGGAAGCACATGATGGTGATAATTAGATCGTTAATAATGAAACTGAAAACATGAATGATATGGAAATTTCAATCAATTATGTTAATACGGAGAATTTTTGGAACCAAAATGGTATGAATATAAATGACATATTTTCATTCTCCGTTGCATGTGAAATTATGAATAAAAATGATGATCCCGAACCCATAACTATGAATGAATTTTAAAATAAACATGATTGTAAAAACCGGAATGATACAATAGATACTGAGTGGAATTCTATTAAAAATCAAAAAGTATTTGACTTTATTGGGACTATACCTAAAAGTGTAAAACTTGTTGGGTATAAGTGTGTCTTTGTAAGAAAATAAAATGAGAAAAATGAGATTGTCAAATACAAAGCTCGTTTTCATGCACAAGGTTTTTACCAACGACTATTAATTGATTATGAATGTCATTGTTTTTCGTTATTTAATTGGTTTGTCAGTATTTAACAATCTTGATATGTATCTTATGGAAGTTGTTACTACGTATTTGTATGAATCACTTGACAGTGATATATGCATGAAAATCTCAAAAGGATTTAAGATACATGAGACGTCAAAACCTAGAGAAATGTATAAAATTAAATTGCAAAGATCATTGTATGAGTTAAAACAATCTGAGCGCATGTTGTATAATAGACTACACGAATATTTGCTTAAATAAGAAAACGAGAAAAATCCTATTTGCCTTTGTGTTTTTATAAGAAAAATAATATTTGATTTTGTAATAATTGATGTTTATATCAATGATTTAAATATCATTAAAACTAATAGAGAAATTAAGGAAGCAAGAAATTACTTGAAGAAAGAATTTGAAAAGAAAGATTTGGAAAAAATCAGGTTCTGTCTTGATTAACAAATTAAGTATACTAAAAATGGTATATTGCTACATCAATCAAACTATACATAAAATGTATTGGAAATGTTTAACATGGACAATGCAATACTTTGAGTACTCCAATGATGGACTCAACACTTAATGTTGAAAATGATCCATTTAGACCTAAAAAAGATAATGAAGAGGATTTTGGCTCTGAAGTATCATACCTTAGTGCCATTGGGGCACTCATGTACCTTGCTAACTATATAAGATCTAATATAACCTTTGCAGTGAATTTACCAACAAGATTCAATTCATGTCCTACAAAGAGTCATTGTAAAGGAATAAGACATATATTTCAATATCTCCGATGTACGTCTGATCTTAGTTCGTTTTATTCCAACAATACAAAAGCAGTTTTGTTTGGTTATGTAGATGAAAGGTATTTTTCCAGTCCACAATCACATAATGCTAAATCACATACTAAATATGTGTTTACATATGCTGACACTGCAATATCATAGTTATCTCAAAAGCAAACACTTGTAGCAACTTCTTCAAATCATGTTGAAGTAATTGTCCTAAATGAAACAAGCAAATAATATAGACGGTTAATATCGGTGACTTGACATATCCAAGGAGCATCTGATTTACCAATTGACAAGAATCCAACAATTTTATACGAAGACAATACTGCATGTGTTACCCAGATAAAATAAAGTTACATCAAAAGTGATATAACCAAACATATTTTTCAAAAGTTATTTTCATTTATACAAGAATTTGAAAGAAACAAAGATGTTGATATTAAATATATTCGTTCGAGTGATAATATGACGAATCTCTCCAGATAAACACTTCCTACATAAGCTTTTAAGAAGCATGTACTAAGCATTGAAATGCATCACCTTCGAAATCTTTCAAAAAGAAATATATATGTTTGGTTGAAGGCGAGCATAATATTGTACTCCTTTTATCTTAGTAAAGTTTTTTTCCAATAAAATTTTTCTGATAAAGTTTTTAACGAGACAAATATGTTTCCATAAAATTCTCATATACAAGACTTTAATACAATACAATGATATATATTTCAAAGAGGAAATATTATAAGAAATTAAAAAAATCCTAATTATTATCGAATTATACAAAACACATGTCTTATTATTATTTTAAAACATCTATCTAAAATGTCAATGTGAATTATTTATCATTATATCAACTTAGAACAGTAACATTTTATTTACAAATAATAATATAAATTACTACATTTATGTAATAATTGTAATTTTATTAATATAAATATCGTATTTAATTCTTTAAAAATACTTTTTTTTTTTAAAATAATAATTTATATTATTATATTAATTAATTCACAAATATCATAAAAAATATATTTAGATATTTCGGTTTTATTATTATTTTTTTCTGTCTTCTTCTTACTAGTATTATTTTGCATTCTATTTCTACTATTACCATTTTATTTATTTTTATTATTTTTATTTTTATAATAATAAAAATTATTGACCATGATCAAGACTCCACGAGTTTCACTCTATCTTTTTCCCGCCAAAAACTGCCAGTTTTTTCCCTCCTTCTCACTAGCCTCGTCTCAGTTCCCTTTCTCCCCGCATCAAACATTTTTGAAGCTAACCATCTCACTCACCGCCATCAATCAATCCTCTACAATGGACGACATGGACATGATGGACATGGAAGAACTCGAATTGCTCGAATCAAGCTATCGTATATACGAACAAGAAGGCGATGACCACTACTTCCACAACCCACCCGAAGATGAACCCGAACTCCAACCCGAACAATCACCACCGGACCTCGCTTCTCCTTCCTCACCCCAATCAAACAGCCACAAGCGTTCTCGCTCGAATTCAAACTCCGATTTGGATTTGGACTTGGATTCTCCCGAAGTTGAAAAGAGAGAGAAAGTTAGGGTTAGAACTGAAGATCCTCCCGCGGACGAGGATTGGCTTCGATACTCTCCTCCTCCTTCTCCAGTTAGAGCCGAAGAAGTGAGTTTCTCCAAGGAAAAGACATTGTCGCGATTTGCATCGGAGATTGATGGTGAAGTTATGCCGGTGACTGCACCTAATGGAGATAGGGTTTATACTAAGCTCGATAGGTACTATGGTGATGATCGAGCTACGAAGCTGAATAGCGGAGCATTTTCTTCTGGTACTTATTCGTTTTCTGAATTAGTTAGCTTTGTTCTAGTTTTTCATAACTTTACTAGTTAGAATCTCATTTAGATGAGTTACTTTATTTTAAGTTCTTTTTGATTTGAATTGTTATCTATGTAGCACCGACACCTCAAAAAGAAAAGTCCTGTCCGTGTCTATATCAGACACTTGTACGGTCACTTATGATGTTATTACGTTTAACTTATTAATTTTTCCAAATTATTATCGGTGTCGTCCTGTTAGTGTCAGGGTCGTGTTTGGGGTGTCCTTGCTTTATAGATTGTTATTGTATTGCCAATCTCTATGAATAGATTGAAAGAAAATGAGATTACATATTTCAGATAGGCATGCTGTGGATAATTGGATTTTTTTTGTATTATTTGCTTACAGATCTTGCTTTAGAACCGATCAGTGTTCTGTTTGAAAGGTTGGAGGAAGAGACTTTCGCTAAGGTTTGGACTTAAGATTGTCTGCTGTGAATTTGAAGTGGCTTAAAGTAGATCAATAATTTCTTACTTTTTTTTGGCTTAAAGTAGATCAATAATTTCTTACGTTTTTTTTTCTATAGTTGTAGGATGCTTGAAAAATGTTTAGAGTTGGTTATATAATATTAGTTTTGATGTTCTTTTTATGGTTTTTATGATGCTGTAGACCTTGGAAGCTAGTTCTGAAAGCCAAAGTATTGTAGATGTTCCTGAAACACTAACGCTCCATGAAAAACTTTGGGTAGATAAATATGCTCCAAAATCGTTCACTGATCTTCTTAGTGACGAGCAGACAAATCGCGAGGTACATATTTATTGCAGCATTTAACTAGGGAAACTGTTTTGTCAAAATGAAGCTGTAGAATCTGTTTATTTAAACTACTATAGTTGAAGATACATTCTTTGGTTATCACAGTTGACTTGGCTGTTGTTCTCATAACTGATTAGAATTTTCGTCTAAGACAGGTACTATTATGGTTAAAACAATGGGATTCTACTGTGTTTGGATCTGAAATTCGAAGTACATCAGAGGATGTTTTGTCTGCTTTGAAACGACATTCTTCTATTTCCCATAATCAGAAACCTCTAGGTTCAGGTTTTCCAAGGACAAAAGGAGGGTACACATGGAGTAATAATAGGCATACAAATTCTAGAAGTATGGAAGGGAGTGATAATTCAAAGAGTAGTCAGGATACACACAACACTAAGACACGGAATATTGGCGCACCAGAGCAGAAGGTACTTTTAAATTCTTGTTGTTTTTTCCTCTCGAGAATTTTCGGGGTTAATGAGCATTGTATTTTCTGATTGTATTTAGACCAGTATTAATTTTCTTACACTTACTTTCACCTCGCCTCTTTCACACTACCTATCTTTCCTGCCATATCCCTTCATCACATCTCCCTCTCTTCCTTAGGTGAACTAAAACATTATTTATCCTTCCGACACAGCTTCATCACATCTCCCTCTCTTCCTTAGGTGGACTAAAACATTATTTATCCTTCTGACACAGCTTCATCACATCTCTTGCTTTCCCTCTCTCAATATGTTGTTCTTACATATCCATATTTGTACTTATCATTTTGGGGAAGCAAATGTGAAATAGTGACATAACAGTATTGTGTCTGTTATAGATTTTTTTCCTAACATGTCAGGTATAGCATACAATAGGATTAACTATGTTTTTTATTCTGAAAATAGGACTTTTTTTTTTGTAATTAGTCCCTTTTTAAAATTTATATTTTTTATACATTTTAGTAATTATGCACCTGCAGTGTACTTTTTAATAGCGACTAAACATGAGGAAATATAAGTACATTAATTTTATTAAAAATAAGGGTTGAAAATGAATAGAATCTTAACAGCTACTAAAATAACAAGAATGCTATATTTTTAGAGACTAGAAATATACCTATCCCTTTACAAACATTATACTCTAGCTGGTGTCAGCAATGGCGTTATAGTATGCACAAGTTATAATTTGGTATTATCTGATCGAGTTATGTTTAGTGTATAAATTACTGCACATCACTTTTACTCTACTTGGCCAGCCTTAAGCATACTCACAGATACTGATGCACGCACTGGTTTGGTGAATAACAATAAAAATATTAGTTAATCTTTTAGGTTTGGGTCCAATTTCCATTACAAACATACATAGGGGCTCAATTTGGATCCAAATGCACGATAGCAGTTTATCAACTACTAAGCAAATATAACTTAACGTTTTTCTCTGAATGTAAACATATTTTGGTTGAAATATGAAACTGTTGCTGATATTTTATATGTTTGAAACTTAGCTCTTACTTCAGCATCTAACCTGGGCATTTTTGTTTTCTTAAGCTGTGATCATTTACTTTGAGAGAAAAACCTTTATTCTCTCCAATCACATTCTAACACGTGGAATATTAATAATTGGCACGCATTGCATCTTTTTATCTTTTGCTCTCTATAACTAGAATATTCATTGGTGGACCAGCACACCAGATGCAAGTTGATCAACTTCCTATCTCTAATGTTTTTGGCGGGCTGTACAAACAATTCTGTTAGTTTTTGAGCTTTTGGAATTTCCCAATTCTTTGCCATTATCATTAATATTAAAGCACTTTCAGTATAGGACATACTAGAACTATAAAGTTTCTGCCATGGCAGCATGGTCTATAAATTTTCATTATGTAATACAGTTCCATTTTAGGCATTGCATGAGGCTTATTCAATAACTAAAACCTGTTACCTCGTGTAATGTGTTAGCAATTGCAACCATTATGCCTAACCTAGGCTATAGGCTCCCCTTATTTGAAACAATTTTTAAAACACAAACATGCTATTAATAGTGTTATCCTCTAGTGCTTTTAATCACGCAGTTGCACAGTGGTTATGGTTTTGCGAGCACATGGCTTGAGATACATTTATTTGACTTATTTAAATGTTTTCTCAATCCCGTTGTTAGATATTGAGATGGGAATTGCATTAGTAATTGAAGTTTTATGATGATTACAGATTCTTCTGCTATGTGGACCACCAGGTCTTGGAAAAACAACACTTGCACATGTAGCTGCTAGGCATTGTGGATATCACGTGGTGGAGGTATTTTTCTATATGCTACTTTTCATGTACAAATACCTGTCTTCAAGCTGTAACCTCTTTTATATGCTGGGTTTTCTAGGCATTTAGTATCATTTGACTGCTAAATTTGTTGGTGATTTTGTGCATTATGTAAAACTAGTTTGACTTACTATAATTTATGTATTAATTTGATGAAGGGATTAATTTGTATGTATCTTTGTTAGTGCATATGGCCGAGTCTAACTGAATTTTCTTTGTTAGTGCATATGGCTGAGTCTAACTGAATTTTAAATGTTATTGACATCTCCAATATAGTGTAGTGCCTGTTCAGAAAGTAACAGTAACACACAGAAGCTAAAGGAACTAACACTACTTCTTGAAAGCCATAGACACTAGTAGAAACACAAATCACACTAATAGATAGGAAAACACAAATTGCACTTAATACAATACTCTAATAGTTTCCACGGTTATTTTTCCTTCTGATTAGCCATTATTAGGCTCCTTGTGGAAAAAGGAGTTGTGTATTTTGGAGGAATGGGAATATGGAATTGGCTTCAGAAGCAAGGCACGCGGATGTGCAGAAGTATAAAAAAATACGTCATGAAATGGAGAGGAGAGAGAAATAAAGAGGGAAGAAGTAACTAAAAGGACAACTGGCAACAAGGAAATGGTGGAGGGAGGTGATGAGTTGTTAAAGGAGGGAGAGAGAGAGAGGGGGAATATATAAAAAGAAGTGATATTGAGAGAGGGAAAGCAAGAGAGAGAGGGGGAATATATGAAAAGGACTCTGCCTTTGAGTCTTTTTTTTAATATTTATTTATCAAGATAAACAGTTGATATTAAATTCTGTTCACCAATTCTGTTGAGTCCTATCAGCTATCACTTTTGTCACATTCTCCTCCAAGCATTCTCTCATATATCTCTAGTATGCTTTTGTCTTGACTTCAATATGACTGGCTCTTTTCTAGTGTTATCATAGCATTGTGGGCGAGGAAACTTGAAGGTCTTTTCATGTCATCCTTCAATACTAATCAATCATAATAGTCGTGGTTTCATCAATTTAGGATCATTCTAGTGATGGTTTTTTATCCACAATAAGTTATACTAGTGATGACCTATGTTGACTATGATCACACTAGCCCTGTCTTTGTCCCAGATGCAATATTTCTTGTCTCTGGTCTTGCATGTTCTTGTTGTTTTGTCTCTAGTCCCAGCCATTTTCTATTTTGACTGTGTTGAATTTTTAGTTTATTTCTTTTCGTTACTCCCTCAGTTCCCAATCTTTGGTCTTTTAAGATTCTTACTTTTGTCCCTTTGTGACCCTTACAAAAACCAAAATACAATTAATCATGTTTTTCCTTTTGACCCTTGCATAAACTAAAAGCATGAATTTTACTTTTACTAAATGAATTATTGGCAAAATGGTCTTAACTTATCTAAATTTATTATTTCTTAATACCCATGCCCAAACTTAAAGGACCAAAGATTAAGGACGGAAGGAATGCTTAAACTTAACATGCTTAAGCCAAGTCAGTTTTATTTATAGAGAAATGCTTGAGTAGTTAAGAAATATATCATAATGTCATTGTCGTATATTAGAATCTTTTAAATTATTTTAGGAAATTTCTTGGAGTGGTTTTCAGAATTTGCCATTTTAATGTCTTGTTTCATTATTAAACTGGGATAGGAGTCTAGTATAAGTGTAAAAGTACTTTATCTTTTAGTTTGCATTAAACAAATATCAATTTTAGATGGGTCATTTCCTTATTATCTTTTTCTCTTCTTCTTTAAGTAAATCCCTATAGTTTCAATGCATATCAATCACAAGTTTGCAATTTTGCAGGTTAATGCTAGTGATGATCGTTCTTCATCAACAATTGAAGCAAAAATCCTTGACGTGGTTCAGATGAACTCTGTCTTGTCTGATTCAAAGCCAAAGTGTCTGGTATTTCTATTATCATTATATTTATTATGTATCTTACTATCAATGCCTGGGGTGAAAATAGTTATCTCTTACCTTTTTTTTCCTCAGGTGGTGGATGAAATTGATGGAGCCCTTGGTGACGGAAAGGGTGCTGTGGAGGCTCTTTTAAAAATGGTTAGTTATAGATGCTATAATTGGTCTATTTTTAAGTGAGTTGTCTAAGCAGGCCATATTAGTCATGGTAATTTGAAGGTTCTTTTAACACTGTCTAAGGTCTATGTTTCTCGAAACAAGTTTGTATCTTGCTCTGTTTTTGTAGTATCACTAACTTGTTTTTGCTTGTTCACTGTTAATTATTTCTACATTCATCATTGCAAATAAAATGGAAAGTCACACGTTATCTTACCATACACATTATATAGGCTTGATATGATTTCTATGCAGTTCTCTGGTTCAGTTTTGTTTTTTGTAGTTCAGATTTTCTGCACTTAACTTCCCTGTTGCCACAACAATTATAAGGGAGTTGATGCACTTTAAGTGGCTGAAGTTGGATATTTAAGCTCCAATAACAGGATTTCTGAAATATTTGAATGCTTTTTTATCATACAAGCGTTTCCCTTAGGTTTGAAAGCAATAATATGGCTTTTCTATTGGGTCACATGCCATTAATCTCAAAGCACCATACAGTTTTCTAACCAAAAAATATATTATAGTTATACCGACCAAAAACTGGGAAATTGGGGTTAAGGCTTCATTTCTTGAAGGAAAGATCAGCGTTGCTTACATGGAAAGAACTGCTATGTTTGTTTGTCATTGGGAATTGATAAAACTCATTTCTATCTAAATCATGCAGATTTCTGCTGAAAGGAAGCCCGATGCAGGGAAGCAGAGTTTGGATAAGGAACAAACAGAAAGGAAATCATCAAAGAAGGGGCGGAAAATTGCATCCCTGTCGAGACCTGTGAGTTTCAGATTTTCATATTGTCATACATCATTCACTATATTCATTTGCAATGATGATCTTGGTTCTGAATGTAGGTGATTTGCATATGTAATGACTTATACGCACCTGCCTTAAGATCATTACGTCAAGTGGCCAAGTAAGTTACTAATCTGGATAATCAATGTATGACAGTGACATTGATCTAGATCCTGAAAATTTTATATATTTGTCATGCTTATTTTCCATCTTGTAAATTTTTTGCTTGATCAGTACCTTAGAAGATTGTTTATTTAGTTTCCCCCATTTCCCCCAACAATATCAACCAGATCTATCCCCAATTTGGGAAAGTGTTGAAGGAAAACTCTTATTTTTCTACAGCCCTTGATGTCAAATCTCTTATACTTTCTACTTCTTCCATAGTCCACTACCTTATATATACTCTATTTAGATGTAAAATTTTAATAGTTAAACCAGACATCTTTTTATAGACTCAAGTCAACAGATACAAAACAAATATAGGAGATACTATTCCTATTTACACGATTCATTGTGATACTAAATGCCTACACAATGATCATATGGAATAAATACACTGATTTAATGTATTAACACCCCTCAAGTTGGAGCATACAAATCATATACACTGAGCTTTTTAAGAAGATAACATATTGGAGGACCTATTAGGGATTTGTTGAAGGCATCTTGTAGTTGATATTTGGAGTTGGCAAATCTCACAGTATTGTCTCTTGATGCGATTTTCTCCAGAATGAAGTGGCAATCTCTAAATGTTTGATCCTCTCATGCAATATTGATTGATTATTACATACAAGGGCTTCCTTCTTCAACTACCTAGTTGTTGGGATAATATACTGGTTATGAAAGTGCTTGAAGATTACTTGCTAATCAAGTTATTATTTTGCACATTATTGCGCTTCTATGTGTAAATTGAGTCCCGATCTCTTCCATTTACTAAAGTGAGAGATGTATAGTTGAAAGCTTCCAATAGAAGTTTCTCATAGCTCCTCCCACTGCCACCTCAGCATAACTAACTTAGAATTAGTTATGACTAGGTGTATGGTTACAATTAGTTATGACTAGGTGTAGATCAGGACACCAAGTGGCACACGATTAGGAATGCTATATAAATCCTAATCATTCTTGTGACCAACTCACTTTTGCAATAACAGAATTTTCAAAGCAATGGAACAATTTTCTCTCTTTTCTCTAATCTTACAACTAATGATTCCAGTTTTTAGTTTGTTCCACAGATGTCTGACATGTGTCAAAATTTTCAACAACCAAGATTAAAATTTTAAAATTCAGTATTTTTTAATTTAATAAAAAATGAAAATTAGTGTAATTCTTTATGAAAGTGAATTTTGTATGTGAGAGGTTTGTTTCTGTTGTTGCAATTGCATATTTGATCTCCCATCCTTTAATACTTACTTTTTTAAATTTAATTTAATTTTTTTATATTAATCTATCGTTCCCTCCTTTTTTCTGCACTCATTCATGTATTATTTGTAAATATCAATTTGTATGCAGTTTAATTTCTTGACAGCACACATTTCTTTTTGACAGGGTTCATATATTTGTTCAACCAACAGTTAGTCGGGTGGTAAGCAGGTGATGATTAACTTGAAATAGTTCACATTTCTAAAATGGATTCAGGTTTAGTTATAATTACTATCTATTTTATTTATTTTCTAACAGTGAGCGAAATTTACTACATTTTGGTTCCGATAATTATGGTGATATAGATATAGATATTGAACCTTACATTTTAGCACCGAACACCAAGCTTGGAAAAAAGAAGTCAACTCACAACTTCAGAAATATTACCAATAGGCAATAGCTACCCATTGTTGTAGGCTAGTATTGTCAATAGCATACTACATTACTGTAGTGGAGCAAATGTGCATGTGGTCGTTGCAATGCAGAATTGGAGTGGTTTGTTATAGTGGTCGAAATAGGGAGTGGTTTATTGTAGTGGCCAAAATAGGAAATTTCGCCGCTGCTATAGTGCTACACCAATGAGTTCAAATGTTTCAAAAAGGCTTATAAAGTTTAAAGGTTACTGCTTTTTTGCTTTGAGTATTTTAACAATTTTGCAATTAAAATAACCAGAATAGGTTTTGTGATTGTGTTTCTCTCATTCTGTGTCGGTCCACTATCTTGCTGAAGTATTTTTGAGGTTTGCTGTTACTCTCCACTACATGCAATTAATAATGGTTGCATACTAGTAAGATATGAATTCAGTCAGCTAGTATTTTATTTGAATGAATTGTAACTCTGTTGGTCAGCACACACATTCTTGCTTGACCGCATATTTTGCTGACTAAATTATTGCTTGACCGCATATTTTGCTTGATTCAGCTTCACAAGTTTCTGAGTTTCTTCGTAAATGACTTTTGTAGACTAAAATATATATGTAACAAGGAGGGGGTGAAAGCCAATGCCATTGCACTCACCGCTTTAGCAGAATATACAGGTATTTTTCTTTCCAAGTTTTGCAAATTTTGCAAAGAAAGGTGTCAAGAGAGTTTAATATCATGCACGGGTACGTGCTATATTAGAATAGAAATATGGACATGCATTTGTATTCAAACCTAAACCAGAAATATTAGAATAGAAATATGGACATGCATTTGTATTCAAACCTAAACAAGAAATACGTGGGATATTTCGCTGTATTGGAACTGATACAACTACAAATGAGTTATAAATAGAATACTGGAGAATTGAATTTGAACACTAATCTGGCATGAAAACCAGGGTAATAATTCCCCATAAATGCTACTACCTCAATGAAATTAATTGAGAATAATTCTATTTACTTTAATATTTGTAACTGCTGCACAATCAGAATTATGTAACGGCTGCATAATAATCATAAGCATAAGATTCTGATACTCTCCAACACTAATAATAGCCAGGGAAACACTTTCTGTGCACCACTTAATGATTATTATCTGCCACTTTTGATATATGTAATGTAAGTGGTGCACCAATGCACCGATAGTTCTAACTGTTGGACTTATTTAATGATGTATGTGAATTACTATCCAATAATTAAAACTACACTAGAGACGTGGTCTCACATTGCCTAGAGACGTGGTCTAAGTATAGCTTATAAAGCTTGCAAAATCTCACCTTATAAGCTTGTTTTGGGGGTTGAGTTAGACCCAAAATCTAAGATTGTATTAGCATCTAGCGTAGATCTGTTATTGGGCTACCCATATTATCCAAGACAAAAACCAATATGTGAGAGAGGTTTTATTGGAGAAAAGTTTAAGACACATCTTCTACGGCTATGGTCTGAATAAAGGTTATGAAACTTTGGCATTCTTTACCTTGTAAACAAGTTTTGTGAAGTTGACTTAAGTTCAAAACTTAAAAGATGCCTTGATTAGTGTCACAGATAATTAGGGGTGTGCAGAATCCAACCCAACCCAATAATTCCGGGCTAGTTTTTTTTCTATCTCATGCAAAAAAATGGAAAACAAAGGACTGTCCAAAAATGAACCTGGTATCAGGTTGGGACAGGTCCGGATTGATCCTCGGATTATCCAACCATCCTAATATTATGAATGCGCATGTGGTACTATTTATCAGAGTTATTAATAACGGATAGCGGAACGGGGAGGCCGACCCTAAAAATGGGATAGCGGGATAAGTTTTGTTGACTTTTTAGAATTGATTATTTTTTAGACGGAATATATAAATAATCTATACAAATAAATTATTTTGGGTGAACAATTAAAAAAGAATATTAAATTGACAACACACAAATTTAATAAAAATCAAATTAATCAAATAAAAATGGATTAAACACTTAATTATTTATATATGTTTATTATTATTAAATGTTATTATTTTTATTAAATTTTAGTAGCATATTATAAACTAAGGGTTAATAAGATAATTACTATGATATGTCTAGGGTTCATTTCATGCCCATTTCAGATGTGTAATATAAAATGTCATTTAACCCAGTCCATATTCTTAAACCTCAAATAAAACCCTAACCACTATTACTTTTTTTCTTCATCGGCAAAACAACATGTTTCTTCTCTCTTCTCTATCTGAAAAAAAAAATCGTCTGGGCCGAGCGCTACCCGTGAGTCGCTTTCTTGCCGGAATCGGGCCGCTCTCTCAGACTGAGATTCACTCACATGTTTGCGCGCGGAAGGGGGCCGCCCCGGCCGGACCACCCGGGATCGCGCCGGTAGCGGTCGCAATTAATAACTATGCTATTTATTTATTTATTTATTTTATTTATTGGTATATTTAGATTATTTCAAATTTCCAATACACTTTCCACTTCTCACATCATAATTTAATATATGCATTCAGTGTATTAAGTACACATCTTCTCACTTCCCAACTTTCACACTTCTCTAGTTCTCATACATAATGTTTTTTATTTTACATCTTCTTACTATGTTTTAGTGAAAATAAGAGGGTGATGACATATATAGAATTACATCATGTTTTTTATTTTAAAAAATTAACTTTAGATGTCTTCTTTGTTTTCATTCATGCTAATGATTTTATTCATTTTTCTTATTTCTTAAGTCACTAAATTTTTTTTTCATATATTTCGGATCAACCCGATATCGTCTTACATTAATTCGGTCTACACTAACATATATATTATCGGATTTTTTTCGGGTTTATGTACGGGTTAGGGTCATTAAAATAACCCGATCAAAATTTAGGACAGGGTTAGGGTTAATCATAACACTTTCCGATCCGTCCCTTGCTCACCCCTACAGACAATCAACCAGTTTTGTGGGATTGAACATGCGTTTATAAGTGAGGGCAATCCTCACTCTACCAACCGGTTTTGTAGGGTTGAGTTAGGCTCAACCACATTTCTTAACATGATATTAGAGCCAATCCTAGATCTATTGTTAGGCTTTCCGCATCGTCCACGCTTTGGGCTCATTGAGGCCCAAGCGTGGGGCGTGTGTTGGACTTTCCGCCTTAATTTTAGTCGCCTTAATTGCGGCTCTTTGTCTTGGCTCATTGCAGCCCCTAACGCCTTCATTGTGTTAGCTTTGAAGGGGTGGATTTAGTCTTATATTGCTTAGAGATATGACCAGTGTTGTGTTTATAAGCGGGGGCAATCATCACCTTGTAAGTTGATTTTGTAGAGTTTTGTTAGCCTAAAATCTAAGATAATATTAGAGCATATCGTAGAACAATGATTAGAATACCTGCAGATGTTCAGTATTAAGTGTGAGGCGGTGTGTTGGATGTCCCACGTTGACTAGTGATATGACCGAATAGTAATTATGAGTGTGGGAGCTGTTGGGATTAATTAGGTCCAAAATTATTTGATGATATAAAAGCCTATCCTAGATTTGTTGTTGGACCACTCATATTATTAACACACATGACCCAATAGCCCTGAATGTGAAGGGGGTGTAGTGAAGAAAAGAAAACCCAAATCCCACATTGTCTAAAGATATAATTATAATAGTTATAAAACGTATGGTATCCTCACATTACAAATTGGTTTTGTGGGGTTGAGTAGACCTAAATTCTATAAAAAAATGAGGAGGATGAGATCAATATAAGTAGTTGAGTTTGTGATTTATGTATTTTTAGATCATAAATATATTAAATGCTGTTGATACAATTTGCTAATTGAAATCGCAATATGTAACTTAAATCTTAATTAATAGAGGCGAGTGTGGTCAACATGGTTTGGAGTTGGAATTATTAAGCAAACTCATCTGCCATCATTTAAAACTTTTGGACCTCTGACCTTGAGTTGGGTTTAGGCAATAAATTATATATCGAGCAACAAAGTATCTAACCATCACACTGTCCAAAAGTTGGTGCAGGCTTACATTGCAGCTAGAAACAATTCCTTTCATCGGTCCTTGTCTCTGCCAAATAATAATGACCACCATTTCACCCACATCTACCTCAGGAAATCTCTGAGAATCACCTTTTCCTCCTCTACCACTTCATCTTCTATTTAAAATCTTAGAATACTCTTTATCTACTATGATTATAGTGTGTCAATATGTTACAAAGCATTCTTTCTTTTAAATCATTTTTGAAACATTTTATCCTTCTTTTGTTATGAATATTCTTATTGACTTTTTTACCCATCAATACAGCATGTGATATACGCTCATGCTTGAACACACTCCAGTTTGTCTCCAAGAAGAAAGAAACCCTCAATGCGGTAAGGCTTAAATTTCTATAACTTAATATGAATTCATAAGGTTGATTGTGCTGTAGCCGTTTCGTATCCAAGCATGGTCACTCATAATATCCTGTTGTGAAAAAATAGAAGAAACTGTTAAAGAAATGTGTTGATTCTTTATTTTAATTAATTAATAATTATCCTGTTTTTCGTTATTATTAGCAAAATTTATAGCACTGTGAAATTGGTTGTGTTAAATCTTAATTCTCCACAATTGTCTCGTAATTTCTTCCCAATCACTTTGTTGCATGAAAACTTGTTTAATTTAATCTGGACTCTTATTAATTCCAAACTTGACCTTTATATTCTAATCAAAGATGTCTCTGGGTAGTAGGTTTAATCTTATTCTTTGAGTAAAAGAGATGGCGAGAGAAAGAGAGAGATTTTCATAGGGGATGTCTAACCCAATACTGTTAAGCTCCCAACATAGTGTGTGTGGATGGATGTTTAGTTCTCTTGTACTCATAAGCCAGTCCCTATAACAATTCACGGATTTGAAAAAGAAGAAAAAAAAATAGAGATGGAGTGCTTGCATGGTTCTATTCTTGTTTCTTTTTGGACATCATTCTTGTTTTGTTTTTAAAAAGACTTAATTTCTCTTTTGATTCCTTAGGAAATATAATTGTGCAATTTTAGTCCCTAGATTTTAGTTATGTTAGCCCTAGGCACCCCAATTTTTACAATTATGTTCCTTCATCCCTTAACCATCTAATTTTAAAGCCTATGCTCCAAAGAAAGACCCTCAGGTATGAATGATATTTGCTTTGGGCGCTTCCCAAATTCCTCTTGATCCAGTGACTAAGATACTTTTTTGGCTACATCAGCTTGTCAGCCTGACTTAATTCAATACTTGCTCTAATCTTTTTTGGCTTTGCATTAAAAACTATACCATTAATGGATATACTGGATTCTAACAACTGGAGTACTTTGGGATCCAGCTCCCACAATGGAAACACAGTGGATCCAAATTGTACAGCCATGGTACAAAATAGTGTAATTTTGCCCTTACCAAAAATGTTAAAAATCTTGTTTGATCTTTGTTGAGAAAAAGTTCTGAAAGCTTGAGGATCTTCAGGTGGCAGCGGCTATGATGACAGATGACTAATGAGGTGGTGATAGTAGAGAACTAAATTGAGAGCAGAGAATATAAGAATACATGTTAAAGAAAACAAAACTGAATTAACCATGTTATCAGTTTCTACTCTAAACATAGATTATGGAGAAAGAGTTTTAAAAACAGTCAGATAAAAATGACGCCTAAGCATACTTTTTTATGTTATAGTATTTAGAAACAATAAGTTGTTTTTGGAAAAGAATGAATACAACGAATAACCTTCCCATAATAAAGTGTTTATGGAAAATTAATCAGATAGGCTTGGACTTTTATTCAATATCACTCTTATCCCTAATTTCGAGTCAAGGTCATTGCAGAATCAAGAGAAAGGTGGATGATAATGAATACACATATATAACTTTCCCAGCCCTAGCTTGGAATATACGGAGAGTCTTTGGTTTCGCTCCCAATCTCTGTTCTCCAAAAACAATTCTTACTTTTTATATCCTGTTATGTCTCTCACTAATTGACTAACCTTTAGTTATTGTGGGTCTGTTAACAGTTTGCTTGCTTTTTCCTGTCATTAAGCTCCTGGCATTATTCAATGTTAAAGGAGGGATCTATATGATGTTATCTGATGCATGTCTTTTCTTGCCTCTATAGTTGATAATAAGAAAGGATGTTTACTGTGATTTTCTTTTATATTGTGATGTTTATGTATGTGTGTTTTTTGGTGTGGCTTCATGGCTCCTGGTTTTATAATTTATATGAAGAGCATGTATTTTGATTATTAGATACTGAACTAATATTCACATGCTTTACTGGTGCTCAGTTTGATATTGGTTCGCAAGTTGTTGGTCAAAAGGACATGTCAAAAAATGTTCTAGACATTTGGAAAGAGGTAATAAGCACTACTCTAATTAATTTGTCTATTCTTGGATATAATTTCTAAGATTACTTTATGTAAAACATCTTGTGCACTGAATGCTATTCTTTGTAGTTGTTCCAAAGAAAAAGAACAAAAAAGATGGAAAGAAAATCTCATGATAGAAAGGTCTCTGAATTTGACACCTTGTACTCCCTTATATCATACCGGTAGGCCATGAATTACTTTTTTGCTCATTTCTCTTGTGCTGAAATGCATGCATGATCCAAGGTAAAAATGGGTAATTAATATGCAGTGGCGATAGTGACCTGATTCTGGACGGAATTCATGAAAATATTCTGCAGCTCAATTATCATGATCCAGTTATGCAGAAAACTGTAAGCATTCGTCTCACACAATGGATTCACTCTAACCAAAATTCATTTACTGGTTTCCTTGATTAACAGAGATTTTGAAATATGGTTGAAGGTCAAGTGCCTCAACAGTCTTGAAGTTTATGATCTGTTGCATCAATATATAATGCGCACACAACAAATGCCTCTCCTTGGTAGGAAGATAATATACCTTCTTTATTTCTGTTATTAAAAATATAGTTCAATCTCACTCTTGTTTTTCCATTTTTCCTTTCCTCAGTTCATTTGCCTCCCATAGCAATTATTGTACATCGCACAGTTGCTCAAGTCCAGAAGCCAATCATTGAGTGGCCAAAGTCATATCACAGGTATATTTTATGTTGTGCTAGTTGGACTTTGCATAACCTCTTAAAATGTTATTTTTTAGACAAGCAAATTTCCTAATGCCACATTATATAAAAATCTCCAGGTATCGAACAACAATGATGGAAAAGATGGACATTTTGAATACATGGCACTACAAAATATCGCCACATATTGCAAGGCACTTATCACCTACTTCTTTTGTTGAAGACTTAATTTCTCCATTGTTACATATTCTGTCCCCACCAAGCATAAAACCGGTGATGTGCTTATTCTATTTGTTATGCAATTAGTTTAGTTACCTAATTGATTTTGTCTTCTTGTTTTCTTCATTTATCTTTTTAGTACTGTGTAATCTTACACATGAAGACACAATTCCCTTTAGATAAATAAAGAATACACTGAGCTGTTTAGAAATAGGAAACATTATGGTAAGGAATGGCTCTTGTATTATGTTCCTCAGTGGTTTGTTATTGAATTTAGTTTGTGCTCCTCAAATTTTGAATAGTCATGTTTAAGTCATGTATGCAGCTTTTCTAATATTTATTTTCAGAGAATTGACCACCCCAAACAACATTGGTTCTCTTGGGTGTGATGCCTTAGAATCCTAGTGTTGATGCCTAGACCACTCGTGTTAAATTCAGAAATATTTTCCTCAGTTTCTAATCTCTCCGAACTTAGGCATTGTCATTATTATCTTTTAGCTTATGGGAGCTTTCCGATTGAAATTAATTACTGCCTTATAAAATTATAGATGTTTATGAAGTTAAACAAGAGCTTGTGAAGAAATTAAGATGCAAAAGAAGATTTCAACTTATTTGAGACTTGAAGCAAATACTCTCTCCGTTTTTTATTATAAGTCATTTTTTATTTTTCACACGTATTAAGAAATGTAATAATTGTAGTATGGAAAAGAGAAATTATGAAGGGTTTTACAAAATTGTCCTTCATTAATGATATTGGAAAGACAAATATACATAATTGAAAGGAGAGAGAATAATAAATATTTAAGGGTATAATAGGAAAAATTAACATTAATGATTCATTGGTATTATAAACCGACTTATATTGTGGTACAAAATATTTTTCCAAAGTGACTTATAATAAAAACAGAGGTAGTATTTACGAAACTTGGTCATTTTGAGATGATTCTCTTAATATTTCTCTTTCTCATAAGTGATTCTTGTTAAGTTTATCCAAACTTACTCTTATTGTTCATGGAGGACATCATTAATAACTGATTTGAATAAAACCCTAGATCAATTTTGATTTCCATTTCTGCAGAACTTATAGACGTCCCACCCTGAAGCTCACATACCTACAACAGTTCCCTAAACCAGTTTTAAGTTTTGTTTATTAAGTCATAGCCACACGTTTCTCTCCTATTTATCTAACGATGCAGTAAAATATGCTGACATTTAGTGTCAATTTGAACTGTTTTAACCTGTTGTTGCCTGCCAATCTCTTGTAGTCTGATGAATATTGACATTCGTAAGCTGAGATTTCATTGCTAATGTTATCTTGGCTCCGCTCATGTTAAACGGTTTGTCTGTTCTGTATTCTGATTTGTTTTTCCTTTTCTGTAGGTGGCACTACAACTACTATCAGATAAGGAGAAGAATGATCTTGCTCAATTAGTTAGCACAATGGTGTCATATGCTATCACATATAAGAAAATGAAGTCAGATATGCTGCCTAATACCCTGAAGTATGGAGTGAAAGATGAATTGTCTTTGTCTCTTGTTCCTCCTATCAGTAACTTCTTGAACTTTAAGGTATGGACCTGGGATCATTGTATGTGCTTCTATCAAGGAAACCTCAGCCAGTTACTAATATCTATTCTGCTGTCTGCATTTATGCAGGATTATACTTCAAACCATTACGTGCTTTCTTTAGCTATGAAGCAGGTTCTGGTGCATGAAGTGAGCCTTTGTAAACTTAAATATTTTATTTGAATTATATATTTTCTTTTGCTTCTTTTTAAGTATGAAATTCAAACATTTTTCCCGTTCACTTATGATAAAAATTATAATATGTCAAATGTTTGTTGACCAATGATTGTGCCTATCGAGTTATTATCTTTCTGACTGCTGTTAGTGAGATTTTTTTTTATCAGTGAAAGTTAAACTGTTTCCATATTTTGAAAGAATAAAAATGAAATGTGAATGTCAAGTACAACTATATGGCTTTGTAGGCTTAGGTATATTTCTAATTCCATCCTAAAAACGCCTGTGACATCAGTAAAACCCTAGATTTTTTTTCTGTAAATGCTTTTGAGATAGCTTTTTCCTTCATGGATTCTTTTAAATTTGCTAGTTTGTTGGAATTCTACACCTAGTTATTCACTGTGTTTTTGTTCTTTTGAGCCTAACAGGTTGAAAAGCATAAGATTTTACAAGCTAATGCCAAAACCGTGGGTTTAGAAAATGGAGGGCATGGAGCTATTGAGTCTGGAAGTAACTGTATCCCATTTGCCAATACCAACAATCATGCAGTTGTAGTTGATAAGAAAACCATTGAAAGTCAAGCTAATGTTTTTGCAAGGAAATCAAATGAAGCCAAGACAGTTTCACCAAACTTGAACCTCACTAACATGGTAAATGCAACAGATAAAGTGAAACTGCTAGACATGGGAAATAAGAAAAAACCATCAAGGACTTCCTCAAGTTTCTTCGACAGGTGATTCTTCCTCAATAATTTGTACATTATTTCTTATTTCAACCATTATCATAACTCAGTAGTTACAACTTCTAAAATTGAAAATTCATTTCTGTTAAACATAAACCATGTCTTGTATAATGCACATCTTTTACTTTTGAGAACATATTGTTGGAATTTTTGCTTTAATTACGGTCCGCCCCTAGTTGCCTTAATTGCGTCACTTTGGCTTGCCTTCATTGCAACCCCCAACACCTTCATTGTGTTGGGTTTGAAGGAGTGGACATTTCTTAGAGATATGGCTTGTGTTGTGTTTATTAGTGGGGCATGTAGAGGATGAAAGCTCTATATTTAGTAAATCAACATGTCCTTTTATTCAAGATACTAAGGCTCATATATAGCCTTTAGTCATAACAGAAAGAAACGTAAACCCACTCTACCCTCCCATTTATCCTAAAACTCAGATTTTAATCGATTTCAATGAATCCTATCTTCTATTCTTTCCAGATTCTATCTATTAGATCTAGTTTCGATTACGGTTAAACCCTTACTTCTCAGATCTATTAACTGTCAGAATTACATTACAGCATTAATGGATTTCCACCTGATTTTCGTATTAGTTCTAGATCCATTCGTCCAACATCAGACAAGAAATATTCAGCAAATGACAGTAATCACAAGAACATCACAACGTTATGAAATCAGATCAATCAACAAGAACAAACAGAAATTCCTACGAGAGAAAGGACCTCTCACTACCCTCTCATGTTAATTGTATAAGCTGCACAAAACACTGTACGGACTGAAACAAGTGCCACGGGCCTGGTTCAGTCGCATCAAACTCACTTCATCAAGGAGGGATTTCAAAATTGTGACAGTGAACAAACACTTTTCATCAAGAGGAGAAATGAGGGCAAGATTATCATTGTAAGTGTTTACGTTGATGATTACAGTAGAAAAGCATGGGTCTATTTGTTATCTGAAAAATCAGAAGCTCTAGAGTCTTTCAAAATCTTCAAGAAGATGGTTGAGGCAGAAGCAAACCTGAGCATAAAGTGCTTAAGAACAGACATGGGAGGCGAGTATACTTCCACTAACTTCAACAACTTCTGCAGAGAAAATGGAATTAGAAAACAGTTAACTAATGCATATACGCCCCAGCAAAACGGCGTTGCCGAGAGGAAGAATAGAACGGTGATGAATATGGTGAGATCCATGTTATCAGCTAAGAAGATCCCAAAATGTTTCTGGCCAGAAGCAATAAATTGGACATTTCATGTCCTAAATCGATCTCCGACTCTAGCAGTAAAAGATGTTACACCGCAGGAAGCATGGAGCGGAATCAAACCTTCAGTGAAGCACTTCAAAGTCTGGGGATGCCTTGCACACGCCCACATACCAACTCAAAAGCGAGGTAAATTAGACAACAAAAGCTCCACTTGTATTTTCTTGGGGATTAGTGAGAACACAAAAGGTTATAGATTGTTTAATGTTGAAACAAACAAAGTAATTGTGAGTCGTGATGTAGTGTTTGAAGAAAATAAGCAGTGGGAATGGGGAAAAGATTATGAGGGACAATTAAATAGGGAATTAGAGTGGGAAGAACAGAAAACAAATGAGGGAGTTGAAGAAAGTGTGCAGAAAATTGGGGAAGAAAAGGAAACACCAGGATCAGAGAGTGAAGTTGAATGTGAGAGAACACGGGAAACACATGATCATGAGGATGAAGAACACTCAGATCAAGAGGATGCAGAGCCACCTGAGAATCAGAGAGAAAGAGGACAGAGTTCAGTGCAAGGGAGAGATCGAAGGATGCCTCAGTGGATGAATGATTATGTCAGTGGGGAAAACCTCTCAGATGATGAAGCACACATGGTGAAGGATGCTGAAGCAGAGGATCCTATTTGGTTCGAAGATGCCGTAAAGGAAGAAAAATGGAGACAAGCCACGGATAGCGAAATAGAATCCATAGAAAAGAGTAACACATGGACACTCACTGAATTACCAAAGGATGCTAAAAGGATTGGCGTCAAATGGGTTTTCAAGACAAAGAAAGATGAAGTTGGCAAGATTATAAAATGCAAAGCACGCTTGGTAGCAAAGGGGTACTCTCAAAAGCATGGAATTGATTACTCTGAAGTTTTTGCTCCGGTCGCACGGCAAGATACAGTTAGAATGGTAATTGCATCGGTTGCGCAAAAAGGGTGGACAATTTTTCAACTCGACGTCAAATCTGCCTTTTTACATGGGAAACTAATGGAAGAAGTTTTTGTTGATCAACCTAAAGGCTACGAGAAGAAAGGGAATGAGCACTTAGTGTATAAGCTGCACAAAGCACTGTACAGACTGAAACAAGCGCAAAACTCACTTCATCAAGGAGGGATTTCAAAGTTGTGACAGTGAACAAACACTTTTCATCAAGAGGAGAAATGAGGGCAAGATTATCATTGTAAATGTTTACGTTGATGATTTAATATTTACAGGTGATGATGAGAAGTTAATGAGGGAATTCAAAGATTCCATGATGAGAGAATTCGACATGTCAGACTTAGGGAGGATGAGTTATTTCTTAGGAATTGAAGTTGTGCAGCAAAAGGAAGGGATTTTCATTTGTCAAAGGCGGTATGCAGAGGAGGTCCTACGAAGATTCAACATGTTTGAGAGCAATTCAGTCAGCAACCCAATTGTGCATGGAGTAAAGATCAGTAGCGATTCAGACGGAGTAAGGGTGGATGAGACTTATTACAAGCAGATTGTGGGCAGCCTCATGTACCTTACTTCAACCCGGCCAGATTTGATGTTTGCAACAAGCTTAATTAGCATATAGTGACTACGCCGGTGATATTGAAGATAGGAAAAGTACTAGCGGATATACTTTCCTACTCAGTTCAGGAGCTGTGGCATGGAGCTCAAGAAAACAACCTATAGTCACACTGTCTACGACAGACAGAAGCCGAGTTTGTTGCGGCTGCCGTTTGTGTCTGTCAAGCCGTATGGATGAGAAGAATTCTCAAAGAGCTATACTATGAAGGAGAAGAATGCACCAGCATCAAGTGTGATAATAGCTCCACTATCAAACTGTCCAAAAACCCGGTAATGCACGGACGCAGCAAGCATATAGACATCCTTTATCATGCTTAAGGGAGAGATTGAAAGAGCCGTTAAGTGTTTAGAATAAGTCTTAGAGTTTGTTTTAGTCAATTAATAAAGTTCCTAGTTTGTAGGAGATAGAATAGGTCATTCATTCTAGTTTTGTTATGGCTTCTGTTATGCCAAGTTTTACGTTTCTTTCCTTTATGACTAAAGGCTATATTTGTTATGCCTTCTGTTATGTCAAGTTTTACGTTTCTTTCCTTTATGACTAAAGGCTATATATGAGCCTTTAGTCATAACAGAAAGAAACGTAAAACTTGGCATAACAGAAGCCATAACAAAACTAGAATGAATGATCTATTCTATCACCTACAAACTAGGATCTTTATTAATTGACTAAAACAAACTCTAAGATTTATTCTAAACACTTAACGGATCTTTTAGGGCAATCCTCACCTTACAAGTCGGTTTTGTAGAGATGAGTTCAAGTCGGTTTTGTAGAGATGAGTTAGGTCCAACCCAAATTCTGAGATGGTATCAGAGCCTAACCTAGATGCATTGTTCGACTTCCTGCGTCGTCCATTCTTTGGGCTCATTGAGGCCCAAGTGTGAGGGTGTGTGTTGGATTTCCGCCTTAATTGCGGCCTGCTCCTAGTCGCCTTAATTGTGGCACTTTGGATTGCCTTCATTGCAGCTCCTAACAGCTTCATTGTGTTCGGTTTGAAGGGTGGATTTAGTCCCACATTTCTTAGATTAGAGATATGGTCTGTGTTGTATTTATAAGTGGGGGCCATCCTCACCATAGTTTTATAGTTTTGTAGAGATGGGTTAGACCCAATCCAAATTCTTAGACATATAAGTGCCAAAAAATTAGGAACATATTTGTATTTTGAAATTAAAACTTAGAGATTACAAATCACGGGCTTTCCTCAATTGGTCATTAATAAATATGTATGGCCAGTATGAGGCATTTTATAGCCTTCATGTTTGGCATGGTATTGCTTTATTTCTCTGTAGGCATTCCCAGCATATCCTAATCCCCTTTTGTTCCATATTGTTATATAATGAAACCACAGTTCATGAAAAAGTTTCTCATATGATAGTACTATTTTATATTGTAGATGGTCATACTGTACCTCTAAGCTTCTATCATAGTAAAATATTAATTTTTTTTAGCCACTACGCAATGTTAAATATCGGCCATTATTCCGGGTTTTTCCGCCATAATCCACTCTAACAGCGCCTCAAAGCTGCCGATATGGCGGGATTTTGGCTCTCTGCTATGGACTGCCATCCACCATCGATAAAACTGGCCACTACAATTCTAGCACATCAATAAAATTGTGGCTTATAACATTTTGATTTTTTCTCCTTATATTTTATGTTAGACTTTGAAATAGGGTGCAACGTAAGCTAGACATTTTAACTACAAGACAACTCTTTATTCAGTGTCTTATTTAGTGGTCAATACACAGAACAATCAAAATTATTACAAAAGTTATTGCAATAACCTAGAGATACTTTATACTCCGTCCTACAATGAATGACCTATTTAGAATAAAAGTGTTCTAAAATGAATGATTCATTTTAATTTCCAATGCATATTTTTCAATACTACCCTCTAATTAATATCACTTTCATCATTCCCAATATTTGATAAGGGATACTTAAGTAAAATTATCATTCTCTCTCTTTCATTTATTTCTTTTTCTTAATAGTATGTGTGAAATGACCAACTGAGTCATTCATTGTGGTAAGATCGATATGATCAACGACCATATGAGTATGAGTATGATGCTCTTAATGAGGTCCTAGAAATGGTTCAAAGAAGAACCTAGAGAAGTAAACTCTACCTCTCCGTCAATCAATGATTGAAAATTTAATTTCATTGAGTTCTACCAAAAAATGTACTACATCCAAGAGGAAAATAAGGCCCATGCTCAATATGAAAGGCGGCGGTCAACTATTATAAGGAAAATGAGCAAGATACAAGCTTCAAAAAGAAACGTACACAACTACAAGTATTTCACTTATTATAACCAAATTACAGACAAAAATATTTAAAATCTATATTTGTGAAGTTGATCAAAAGCTTCATTCCTTGAGGTCCACTTCAACTTTGGAATCTTGTGGCTGGCCAAACCGTGTTTGCTACTATTAGAATTCAGGTTAGGCCTGACTCAACCTTACCAATCCGACTTATAAGGCAAGGGTGGGTGACCCCAACTTATAAACACATGTTTAAGGCTTATCTCATCCACTGTGATACTTTTAACACACCCTCTCATGCTTAGGACTATATATCTGGAGCGTGACTCGAGGGCCAGATAGCAGGTGATCCTACAAGTTTTGGATAGACTCTGATACCACATTAGAATTTGAGTTAGACCTAATACAATCTTGCGAAATTGGCTTATAAGGTGTGGCTGCTCCCAACTTATAAACACATGTTCACACCTTATCCCATCCAATTTAAGACGCTTAACAACTACATTTGGTATGTTACAATGTTGTTAAATATCCGATATAGCGGTGCGTAGCACTTACATAGCGGTAATTTAACAATCTGCCATTTCCCGCTATCTGCAATAGACTACACTGGTTTGTTACAACCTTCTGAACAACTACAATCCTGTTTCTATTTTCTGTGCAGTATATCCTTCTCGCTTGCATCAATTTTATAGATCAATAGGCTTTAGCTGGGTGAGAAGTGTTTGAATCAAATGTACATATTTATGATTAGGATTAGAATCATAGATTAGGATTTGAATTAACAAATTATATCAGTTAGTAGTTGTAAAAGGTGAGTGTGGTTTTTATACTCAAATCACAAATTCAACATGTAGTTTGTCCTTTAATAAGATTTTAGAATTTTGTGATGAATATCACTTTTAGATTTGTTATGCCTTGTGCCATTTAAAAAATTAAACATATACCAAAATATTTTAGTTTCGAGTCCCTTATTTTTTAGCATGGTTAATAAAAATAGGGTTAAATATGTTTGTGGTCCTTCTAAATATCTCAAATTTCGTTTTTAGTCCCTCAAAATATTTCCTTTAAAGAATGGTTCTCGTAAATTTTCACCCTGCTTTTGGTCTCTGATACTAAAACTGTCGATAATTCGCTAATTCAGTCGCTAAGTAATAAACCGTCGCTAAAATAGTTACTAATTTTGTCGCTAAGTTGTAAATTGCAGGAGGGACCAAAAGTGTGGATAAAAAAATTTAGGAGGGCCATTCTTTGAAGGAAATATTTTGAAGGACTAAAAATGAAATTTAAATATTTACGAGGATCACAAACATATTTAACCCATAAAAATATGAAATCTCTTTTTTTATTTTTTTATATTATTGGTTTAGGAAAAAGAAAGATAAAGAGGTTTGTGGTGATTTATTCATAATATTAGTGGCAGCTATTGATACATTAATCACAGTCACTTAGTAAAACAAGGCTTAGTTGATTTACTAGTTTGTGAATAAGAAGCTTATTTGTCCTCTTTATTATATTTATTAGTTTGTTCCTAGAATAAGGGAAACATATATACAAGAAAGAAGAATGAGAAAGACATTAAGTCAATAATTATTGACATGGTTTGGGTGCCTTGTTGAATGATTATGATTGCATAGTCGTTGTTTACTTCCGCTGATCTATTTTTTGCTTCAAGGGCAGGTTTATAAAGTCAAATGTTAAGGGTCTCCAAAATGATGATGGATCTCTACAGAAAGAAACTACATCAGAGAAAGACAGAAGCCCTTTACTTTTTAAGTTTAACGAGGTATGCTTTTTTGCTTGTTTATCTTAATACATGCATATTATTTCTTATTTTCATCTTGCACTGCATTTAGTTAGAATTAGTCACGTGTTAATACTCTTTAGTCAGTTTGTATACATCGCTGTGCAGAATCATTGATTTGGAGTATATTAACTAATCACATCAATTTAGCATTCGATGTATTTATCGTAGTTCTGTTATAAAAACAAATGTGATGTGTGATCTGTTTTATACACGTAATATTACAAACTCTACACATTTGAATAGTAAGGTTACTTTGTTGAAGACATGAAGAAGCCATTCAGGACAATAAAAATGTTAAAAGAGATTATCCATGCATCCGTGTGTAGAGCTTCTATTATATGGAAATTCACATGAAATAGTATATATGGATATTTCCCAAGTAGAAATACTTGCAACCAATACTTTTTAGTAGACGAAGTTTTACTTTTATTCTTTTATCTTAATTTATCATTTTCTTTAGTTGTTATTGTTTCTTATGTTAAATTTGTCCTTTATGACTGTAAATGTTTATACTATTGGACCTAACATCACTTTCAATATTTTTTTGCTAATGATTTTTTAAATTATGCTAGGAGTTTTGTTACCTTACCTATATAACAAGAACATCCTGAATTTTCACGGGATTTCATGAACTGAATCAAGATAATTTCCTATTTAATTTCAATAACTCTCAAAATGCCACTCACTTTAATTCTCTGTAGTTCAACATTTAAAAAAAGTTGTGAGGGCTATCTTTTTATGATCATCAGTGTCAATTGGAAAATTTTGTTCCATATGTTTAGGCTATATAATATTCTCTCCTCATTTTTATGTCCGACCAAATTTAACCTTTCCGAGAAGCCAGCTGATTGTCAGAAATTTATCTTATTTTCTTGTTTTTGGTGGCTGTGCTTGTATGATACTGTGATTCAAATTTTAGTAGTGACTTATTATTTATCATGCTCACACTTGGTGGTGTATGCCCAAATGATAGAGTTACTCTTTTGATGTTAATCTTCTGATTCATAGTGGAATGCGACTGATAATCCGAAGTTTGATAAAGAGATAAGTAAAGTCTGATTAAAAATTGTTTCATCCATTATTCAATCATGGTTTTTTTTCCTTTCTGAATGACTTGTCTTTACGTGGAGTTTATTAACTATTTGAGCTAAAAATTTTAGTTAAATGACAGGTTACTCTAGTAATTGGTTACCTAAGTGAAATAAGTTTTTTTTCTTACTATTATAGTATTTTAACAAAAAAGAGGAAAAGCTAAGTTATGCTACTGTCTTCTGTTGATACTTGAAAACAGATGCTTATTGTGAATTCTTCAATTCTTTGCAGGGTTTTACAAATGCAGTCCGAAGGCCTGTTCGAATGCGCGAATTTCTGTCCTAATAGTTCTTTCAAGTAATTTAATTATTCATTCATAATTTTGCTTCACTCCTATTTAACATAAAAAACTCTACCAGTATAGTTATCAATTTGGTAGCATGTGTAAGAGTCAAAGTTTTCAATATGACATGCTTTGACAGTGTCCAGGTACCTATGGTGTGTTGGTTGTCATTTATGCTATAAAAAAGAAAGGTAGTATAGTGACACACATTTCAAGCAAGAGAGTATGATTGTTTACATGTCACGCGTTTGTGAATCAATCTCTTTAAACAGCCAAGAGTTAAAGATTTATTTGCACACAACCCCTAGCTTATTTAGTATGAGGAACATTTAACTAGGCATCATAGCAATGTTAAGATGCCTAAAGATATTCATCACTTCATATCTACAATATCGTATTAATACTAGGAGCTTACTCATTAGTATAATTCAAATATTTGATCAAAGCAAGAATGCTAATATTATCACATCTAACCAAAAAGGTTCTTAATGTATAAATTTAATATTGTATAATCAGGCTTTTTTATGTTAAGATTATTATGGTATTAAAAAATGAGAAATGTTAAAGTGTCTCAGTGCATTTGTTATGAGATTAAAAATGTAAGTTGAATATTTTTTAAAAGATTAAAAAGATAAGTTTTTTTATTAAATATGTACATTCAATGTATTAAAAATAAAAATATATATTTTTTAAAAAATATTATATTTATTTAATGCATTGAACATATAATATTTTTTATATTTGAGATTTTTAATCAAGGCCATTGGGGACTGGTCAGCACCTTTAAAATTTTTCTAGAATTTGAAGTGTCCTCTTAATTAAATTTATTGAAATTAATTGCATTTTTAAGTGATATAATAACTCGCTTTAGCACAAGTGTTTAAAGATTAGTTTTTTTATTTTTTATTTTTTATTTTTTATTTAAATTTTAATTTTTATATCTCTTTTATTATTCCATTCTCTTTCTTTCCTCTTTTATGCTTCATATTTCTCATACCTCAATCCGTCTCATTTCTTTTAAAAGAATATAAATGTGATCGAGGATAATTTAATACTTTTTATTGAATGCGCGAGTATTTTTGGAATAGTTGTTACAAGGATTTGGATCTTCTCCTTTTATATATGTTCTGCCATCTCTCATATTTTTAATCTAACGGTTCAGAATTTATAATGAATAATTAAATAAAAAAATAAAGACAAATTATTTATCCATTTCTCTCTCTTATTAAATGACTTTTTTTATTTAATTATTTATTATAAATTATGAACCGTTAGATTAAAAATATGAAAGATGATAGGATATATAAAAAAGGAGAAGATCCAAATCCTTGTTAGAAGCATCCTTTCTTTTATATTTCTTTTTTATCTATGACTCAACATGAAATTTGAAAAGTATTAACTAATAGAATTGAACATTTAAAAACACAACACATTCATTGAAAATCTTAATTATAATTCAAAATTTGACCTAATTAGAATTACATAGGAATAACAAATCCAATTTTATTAGACACAAAATTCTTTTAAATCTTTATTTAGTAAAATACTCATCTTTCTATCATTTTTATTATTTTTGTCAATACTAATGAAAATTTTAAGGATCTAGACTAAATTGACAAGTATATTTTATTGATCCTCAACCTCTTTTTAATAAGATTGAATATTTATTAACTCTTGTAACACTTGCACGCAAATTCTTTTTGAAATAACTTATATGTTCAATTAAAATATCATAATAATCGAGTTTTTTAAAAAAAAAACCAAAAACATATTTTTAACATGCATGCGCCATATGATATGATGACAATATTGAAAATTCAAAAAAATTGAACTGATGTGTTATATCATATGACGACACCGTTCAAAAAAGTCATAATATTTTCATATTTTCAGAGGAGGTCTTAGTTCAATTTTTTTATTAATTATTATTTTGAATTAGAAAATTAAGAAATTAAATGAAAAAAATTAAAATAATCTAAAGAAAAATTAAATAACAATATTTGCAATATAAAAAAGCGTACAATAGATGAAAGAAAAATTCAATGACCGACCCTATCAAAACGTCCACCGGTTCCACATGGCGGTGTATTTGCGCAGCGTCGAGGTCTACCACAATTTTGTTGAGGTGTTTGTAGCCTTTGCGTGTTGACTTGTGGAAGAGGTATTTGTTGAGCTGATCCCGACATATCAGACAAATTTTGAAGCATCTGTCCCTAATAGTCAGGGGGTTTGCTGCCAACGACGCTTCCGTAATTCAGTTCCATGCCCATGTTTTCGTAGTTGGGACGGAGTGGTTGGGTTTGGTGTGGACGATATGGTTGACCGAATTGGTACATTGAATTGTTTTGGAAACAATGCAATGGTTGTTGTGGGGTTTGGTAGTCAAATAGTGGGTAGGTGTTTTGATGGTAGGACGATTGTGTGTTCATTTGTTGGGGGGGGGGGGACTATAGTGGACTGGGGTAGGGTCAAAAGAGTTATCGGGGCTATAGTGGGATGAAGTGGGGTTGAAAGAGTTATCAGGGCTATAGACAGATGTGATGTCGGTGTCGGGAGGCTGGCGGTAGGGGTAAGACTCTTGTTGTTGTGATTGGGTTGGTGGCATGAATGAGTTATAGTTCTGAAAGATTGATTGGGTGGGTATACTTAGTTGTTGGGTATAACATGATGTTTGATGTTGGACATGTGTTTGTTGCTGTGTGTATGAGGAAGAAACGCGTTGGCGCAGATCAATCAAATATGTCGGCTCAGACACAAATTATTGTGTTGTTGTAACCGACCTAAATCGAATCATATATTGATGACTTGGTCTAGCCCCTTCCACAATAGGGTCGGCTAAGATGTGCCGATGTCGATTCTTCCAATGTAGACACATATCTTTTGCAAAGTCTTTCCAATGATTTACACCCTATTGTGTATCCACCTAAGTTGATGTCAGTCTCCCAAAGACGTCGGAGCGACTGGAATATCCTAATGTATGCCGAACTGTAGTTTCACCCGATCACTTTGGTGCATCTCCACTGTAGTGAACCAAATGATCGGTGTTTTAGCTGTCCACACTGCAACATCATTGGCATTCGGCTGATGGTTGAGACCCTCATACGGCCTCCAGACAAACTACATGAACAATAGATTTAATGAGAAAAACTATGGCGTGGTAATTTAATAGACAAATTTATGGTAGTGTATAATAAATTACATCGTCTGACCCAATGTGTTCTAAAAGGTTGCGGTAGACGATTATTGAGTTCCTCGGACATCATTGGTAATTCATTCTCGCAACAGACCACCTAAAAAAAGTGACACAAATAAATTAGTTACAAAGAAACATTTCATCAAAGTATACACATTTTGATTTTTAAAAATAAACTTGTTTGAGTAGGAGAATGTGAATGAATTCCGGTTGATAGGAGCTAGTGTTGACATTCTAGACCAACCCCACACTTGAAGTAGATAGGCGCAACCATAGAAAGTACAAGATTTTTTTTTTGAATTTTTACACAGTGAACTATATAGATGGGAGATGACAACTGAACCCCAACTATAAGTGCACACTTTATTAATGTTGTGTAACAATGGTAAATACATAATATTTACACTATTTCTAGTACTTTCTGGAAATAAAAAATGTCCAAATAAGATCATAATATAGCACCAAGTTTAAACTATCTTGTCATACTCAGTTGATTCCTCGTCTAATATGATAGTATTATAATGTTTTCTTAGGTATTTTAAATTAATACCTTGGCCTCTAGGTCGACCTTCACGTTGCGGCTGAGGTGTTTTGACACAAAGAAGGGTCCCCAACAAATCTTCGCAAAGTTGGTTATTAAAACCAACTTTGTCATTGACGACCTTACCATCGATGCATAGGCCAAGTAACATATAGACATCTTGTAGTGTGATAGTGCATTCACCGAAAGGAAGGTGAAATGTGTGGGTCTTTAGTCTCCAATGTTCTAGCAAGGCTAGAATAAATTTGGGGTCAAGTGAGTACGATTTGATTTTTATCAAATCACCAAAGCCACATGAATTTAGGTATCCTTCTATGAATGGATCGTGTGGTATATAGTCATGCCCACGACAACGAAACCTTGATACATTTTGACAATGAATATAAATACCCTTAGTTTTAAAGAAAAATACAACTAAGTAAGGGAAGACAAAACAAATAAAGCAACACACTTACAAACTCTGCGATGTTCTTAATTGTTCCTCTGTGATCGTTGCCCATCGTGAGTAGAGACATTTTTTAGTAATTGGTATAAAGGTAGGTTGTGATGAAGTTATTAGCATGCTTGATGAAAGTTTGATGAGAAGAGTTTGTAATGCGATGAGAAGAGTTTGTAATGTGATGAATATTTATTTATAATGGTGAAATGTGATGAGATGAGTCACATGAAAATGCATGATGAAATGTGATGAACTTTGTGCAAGGAATCGTGTAAGTGTTCTCTTACAAGATTCTTGGTCATTGTCATGCAGAGAATCTTGCAGGCATTGCATGTGAAGCCATTGCTACATGGAGTGTAGTCTTGTCATGCATAAAATCACATGAGGCATGCAAGACAATGAATAATGTGTTTGTAAGATTTTAATGTCTTGTAAGTTTAGTTGTTAGAACTTTAGTGTAGTCTTGAAAGTGTAGTCCTGCAAGACTATTAGTGTAGACATGTGAGAACTTTCAAAAAGGCATGTATGTGATAATGAATAGTGTGCAAAAGAAGCTAAACTTCGTGTACACCATGTATTTGTAAAATAAGGAATTGATATTTATAAAATTTATTTAATCATTATTGTATTTGCAAAATAAGGAAGTGTAGTCTTGTCATGCAGAGAATCACATGAGGCATGCAAGATAATGATTTTGTTTTTTACTACTTTAAGACTTTAATGCCTTGTAAGTGTAGTTGGTAAGACTTTAGTATAGCCTTGAAAGTGTAGTTTTGCAAGACTATTAGTGTAGGCATGTGAGAATCTTGTAGGCATGCAAGACTATATGGTACTTTGTAGGCATGCAAGACTATATGGTACTTTGTAGGCATGATAAGAAATAGAAGTGTGCATGCATGTGATAATGAATAGTGTGCTAAAGAAGCTAAACTTCGCGTACACCATGTGATAGAAGGTAATAATAATAATAATAATAATAATAATAATAATAATAATAATAATAATAATAATAATAATAATAACAACAACAAGAACAATACAAGACATGTGATGAGAAGATATAAATGAGAGAAGACAATTGCACGGAATGTGATAAGAAAATATAAATGAGACAAGACAATTGCATGAAATGTGATAAGAAGATATACGAAAAAAATATTTGTCAAGACAATTGCATGGAAGAAGAAGTACAATGATAATTAAGAAAAAACAATAATATATTCAAACTATATGTGTATTAATACACTAGAGATATACATTTTATTATCATATCATTAGTAACATATCATTTAGTAACATATTCTTCCAAACACTAAAAATTGTAAAACAATTCTTCCAAACATGAGTTTAGTGTTATGACTCAAACACCACAATACAATGTCAGTGCACCTCTAAATGGTGAGATATTTGAATGTACCATAACCGGTTTCAATTTTTGAAATACGGAAGTTACTAGGTTTTTAATTGACAGAAGATCAATTTTTTTACATTTGAAAGCGAGGTTAGAAAAGAAATTACAGTGTGGTCTAGTTGGCCAAATCATCTACAAGAATCCTGTGTTTTTTGGCGGGCACGATCATTACAAATTTTTTCAGTTAAAGATTCAAGACGATGAAGATGTGCGTAATATGTTTCTCAGTCATGAGTATTCTAGTTTCATTGATATTGAGCTATATATTATGTTACAACAACAACAACAACTGTCTCAACAACTTGATTTTTCTCAAGTTTTTTACGAATCTGATGACGAACAAGCTGAAGTAAATGTTATTGACGAAAAAGAAGAAGCTGAAGTCATTATTGATGAAATGGTAAACAATGAGGAAGATATATTACCAGTCAGTCATGTTTATTGCCCACTTCAACACATGACAAGTCTCAACTTAGGTGAAGATGAACCATCAACAAATATTTTTTACAATCCATACTTACAAACAGAAGGAGTATTAAAAGAGGGAGACAATTTTCGTACAAAAGAATATTGTATCCAAGCTATAAAACAACATCACATGGACTTATCAGCAGATTATAGAGTCAATCGAACGAATCTGACTCTGTATAAGATCTATTACCGTAACGAGGTATGCCCATTTTGATTAACACCTTCTTTTCGAAAGAGAAGTGATTAATGGAAGATATGGTCAATGGGTTAATAGCACACTTGTTTAATCACGAATCTAATGCAGGATCATCACAAGCTCAGCTCTCAGTTGATATGCAATAAAATTTTGTCAGTCATTAGCGACAATCCTTCTTTGAAGGTGAATACCATAATCTCGCATATGGTGCAAAGATACAACTATAATCCTTCGTATAGGAAAACATGGATAACTAGGACATAGGCGGTTGAAATGGTGTTCGAAAATTGGGAGGAGTCTTACAAAAAACTTCCAAAATACTTGGTGACACTTAAACAATATGCTCTAGGGACTGTTGCCATCTTGGAGACATTACCGTCGTATACGCCAGACGGGGCTTGTGTTAGTGGAAATGACATTTTCCACAGACTCTTCTGGGCGTTTGAACCAGGTATCAAAGGCTTTGCATACTATAAGCCTATTATTCAAATTGATGGAATATGGTTGTATGCGAAATATAAGGGCACGATACTCATGGTCGTGGCACAAGATGGAAACAACAACATTTTTCCAATTGCCTTCGCTCTAGTTGAAGGGGAGACTACTGAGGGTTGAAGTGTTTTCCTAAAAATTCTCCGCTTATACGTTTGTCCCCAACCTAACTTATGTTTGATCTCTGATAGACACCCATCAATCGAAAGTGCATACAAGAATCTTGATAACGGTTGGCAGAATCCTCCCTCAACTCATGTGTATTTCATAAGACACATCGCTTAAAATTTCATGCGGAAGATCTAGGACAAAACGCTAAGGAAGAAGGTTGTGAACGCATGGTATGCACTAACAGAGCCTACTTTCATCAGACTGACAAACGCAAATGCATTAATATGAATTGATAATATTCAACTAGAGAAATGGACAAGGGCATACGACAATGGCCAGCGATGGGGCCACATGACAACAAACCTCGTTGAATCAATAAATTCTGTATTCAGGGGCATCCGAAACCTACCGATAACTGTTTTGGTAAGGGCAACATATTTTAGGCTCGAGGCAGTTTTTGATACCAGACGTACAAAGTGGGGTTCTGTCTTACAATCTGGGCAACTGTACAGTAATAGTTTAATGAAATTCATGAAGGATGAAGCTGCCAAAGCCAACACGCACGTGATCACAGTCTTTGATTGTAATAAATGTTGGATCAGTGTTGTAGAGTCAATTGATCACAATGAAGGGAGACATAGGGGATGTTACCGAGTGGAAATAGATATGAGTTGGTGTGACTGTGGAATGTTTCAGGCATTTCGTATGCCTTGCTCCCATGTTATAGCAGCATGTTCGAAGGCTTGCCAAGACCCAACTAACCATCTTTCTGTTGTTCACCAAGTCATTAGTCTATGCAATGTCTACATCACTAGCTTTCAAGTGGTAGCAAAGGAGGACTATTGGGCTCCATACGAAGGCGAAATTGTCTGACATAATGATTTGATGCGAAGAAAGAAAAAGGGTCGCCCTAATAGCACGCGTATTCGAACGGAGATGAATATAACAAACAAAATGGTCAGATTTTGTAGTTCGTGCCGGTAGCCGGGACACAATCATACAAAATGTCCAAATATAGGATCAAGCACAAGATCATATTTTCAAATGTAACCTTATCTCTTTATATCAACAACAAATTTTATTCCATTGATAGCATACCTAGGCGATTACAATTAACAACAACATAACTTAAACAAACATAACTTAATATCTCAACAACAATAATTAATAACGACATAAACTAATACCAAAATAACAATCGGAAAATAACAACAATATACCCAAATAAAACAACTCAATGCATCAACTTATCTAGAATATTACAACCATCAAGATAATTTTCTTTGGTGTTAAGATCATCATAAGTACACCAGCATCATTTTCCACTTTTCTCCAAGCACGAGTAACTCCATTTGGGTCTGACTCCTCAACTAGCCTCTCAATTTTTCTGATCTTTTCACTTGCAACAATATCTCCTTCTAGCCAGCAGTTTAATTTCCTATGCAAATGCTTCATGGTTTGCGTGTTCCAGAGTAGGACCTTCATCAGAGGCTTTATTGCCGAAAAATAAACTTGGGCATTTCTTTTCATAAGTGGAAATGTTGGAAGCGGTTCCTCCGATGATGATGACGACGATGAACGTTGATTTAAGAATGCAAACATACTTTTAGATTGAGTTGAGAATATTGGTGATAATTGTTGTGGAGAGTTGAAGATATTAGTGATAATTGTTGTGGAGTAACAAATGAGTGTGCAGTTTTATTTATAGAAAAATGAAATAGTGTAGTAGCCATATCATATGGTGTATCTACCCTTTAAAAAAAACCGTTTTAATTAGAAATTATAAAAAAAAAACAAATCAAATATGACTTTAAAATTTTTTTTGAACTGAGGCGCCATATCATATGGCGCCTCCTCTGAAAAGTTAGGGCATATGGCGCATTACTTAGGGCTTTTGAATGGTGTTGTTGTATGATATGACGTATTAGTTTAATTCTTTTAAATTTTCAATATTGTCGCCATATCACATGGTGCATACATGTTAAAAGTATATTACTTTAGTTTTTTTTTTAAACTTAATTATTATGGTATTTTAGTTAAAAATATAAGTTATTTAAAAAAAGAATTCCTTGCACGCGTACACAAACATGTATATTTATTATACAATCTTTATTCATACATAAAAAATATGCACACACAAATACAAAAAATGCAACTCTATTTAAATTTATATTATTTTATTCATTTTATATGTATTGTTGTCGGCTGTATTTTATGGCTCTATTAGTTGACTAGGTTTATCTGTGTAGTCTACGCAAGCGTTCTAACCATTGTACAATTTTAAGTCATTTAGAGAAACAAATATTTGTTCAAAAATTTCACACCATGGCTCTGGAAGTTATTGCTGGACCTTTCATGGGAGCTGTTTTCAACGTGTTGCTTGAAAGGATAGCTTCTTCTGAGGTTGTAAACTTCTTCAAGAAGAATAAAAGTGAGAATTTGCTGAAAAGATTGAAGATCATTTTGCTGTCAGTCCATGGTGTGCTCAATGATGCAGAAGAAAAGCAAATGAAAAACGAAGCTGTGAAGGAATGGCTTGAGGAACTTAAAGATATTGCTTTTGATGCTGATGATTTACTTGATGAGATCTTCACTACTGAAAAAATGAAGCTAAAAGAGGTAAACATGTTTCATTCTCCTTCAACAGTTTTTTATGATAAAGAGGTTGAACTTGAACACAAGATGGAAGATGTTTATGAAAGATTAGAGTTTGTTATAAAATTGAAAGAGTTACTTGATTTGAAGATTGGTAATGGTAAGGAAATGAAAGTGACACATAAGTCACCAACTTCATCTGTGGTTGAAGCATGTGATGTGTATGGAAGGGATAATGATAAAGATGTATTAGTTAAGTTGTTATTGTCACATGGTGTCGATGACGATGAAAAACTCGGTGTCATTCCCATTGTTGGTATGGGAGGGATTGGAAAAACTACTTTAGCTCAATTAGTATATAATGATGATAGGGTGCAGAAGGAGTTTGATCTCAAAGCATGGATTTATGTTTCGGAAGAATTTGATATCTGCAAGATCACAAAGAATCTCTTGGAGGTTGTCACTTTGTGTAGCTGTGATGTTGAGGACTTGAATTCGCTTCAGCGGAATTTGAAAATGTATATACAGAAGAAAAAGTTTTTGTTTGTTTTGGATGATGTTTGGGATGAAAACTATGAGAACTGGGACAAGTTCAGGAGTCCGTTTAAACACGGAGGGGCTAACGGAAGTAAGATTATTGTAACCACTCGAAGTGGGAATGTTGCGTCGATAATGCAAACTTTTCCGCCTTATAATCTAACCGAATTGTCGAATGAAGATTGTTGGGAGCTCTTTTCAAATCATGCTTTTGGTGATAGCCATAAGGATTCAAAGGTTTGTCAAAGTGTAGACAGAGTTGGAAGAGAAATAGTTAGAAAGTGCAAAGGATTGCCTTTGGCTGTGAAGACACTTGCAGGACTTTTGAGGTCAAAAAGTGATACACAAGAATGGCATAAAGTACTCAACAGTGAGATATGGGATCTACAAGAACATGAGAGTCATATTCTTCCAGCTTTGAGATTAAGTTACCATTATCTCCCTTCTCATTTAAAGAGATGTTTTGCTTATTGTGCGATTTTTCCGAAAGATTACGAATTCGAAAAGGAGAAGCTAGTTTTGCTGTGGATGGCAGAAGGGTTGCTACACCAATCAAAAAGGCATAGAAGAATTGAAGAAGTTGGGGATGAGTATTTCTGTGAATTAGTATCCAGATCGTTTTTCTATCAATCGAGAAGTGGCAAGTCGTGTTTCCTAATGCATCATCTTATTAACGACTTGGCTCAATTTGTATCTGGAACATTTTCTGTGAGAATAGAAGATAACAATTCTGATCAAGTAATGGAAAGAACTCATTATTTGTCTCATGTTATTTCGCATTGTTCCTCCTATGTAAACCTGAAAGATGTTGGAAAAGCAAATCGCCTGCGTACTTTTATGCAAATAAGAACAATTGGTACATCTATAGATTTGTTCAATAACATGCCAAATGATCTGTTGACAAAGTTAAGGTACTTAAGGGTGTTAACCTTGGTAGGTGCTTATTTCTACGGTTTGCCTGATTCGATAGGCGAACTAAAACATCTGCGCTCTCTAGAAGTGTCCGACACCGAGATTATAAAGTTACCTGACTCCATCTGCAGTTTGTTCAATTTACAAACACTCAAGCTAGTTGGATGTTATAATCTTAAAGAGTTGCCAAAAGATATTCATAAACTTGTCAACTTGCGGTACTTGGATATTAGAGGCACTTGTTTGAAGTGGATGCCATTGCAAATCAGTGAATTGAAAAACCTCCAAAAGTTGAGCGATTTTTTCGTTGGTGAAAATCATGGATCTTCCATTAGTGAACTGGGAGAGCTATGCGGTTTACATGGATCATTGTTCATTCATGACATTGAAAATGTTGTCGATTATAAGGATTCTGAGAAGGCAAAATTGAAGGAAAAACATGGCCTTGAAAAATTGTCTTTGGATTGGGGTGGACGCGGTGATACTGATAACTCACAGCATGAAAAGACCATACTGGGAAGCCTTCAACCACACACAAATTTAAAGGAGCTTGATATCTATGACTATCCAGGCACAGAGTTTCCAGATTGGTTAGGGGACTACTACTTTTGCAACATGGTTTCCTTAAAGCTTAAAGGATGTAAATATTGCTACAAATTGCCTCTACTAGGACAACTTCCAATGCTGAAAGAGCTTCAGATTATAAAATTTGAAGGAGTAATGAGTGTAGGATCCGAGTTTTACGGAAACAGAACTTCTGTAAGCACTGATAGCTTTCCTGCACTAGAGATTCTAAGGATTGAGTCTATGTCAGCATGGGAGAATTGGTATTCTGATGCAGACAATGTAGGCACCAGAGCTTTCTGTCATCTTAGAGAGCTTTATATCGAAAACTGTCCCAAACTGACCGGGAATTTACCGAGTAGTCTCCCGTCTTTGACATTACTTGTTATCAGAGATTGCAAACGTTTACTTTGTCCACTTCCCAAATCTCCGAGTCTGCGCGTGCTCAACATTCAGAATTGTCAAAAACTAGAATTCCGTGTACACCAATCACTTACATCTTTGTACTTGATTGATAGCTGTGACTCACTCACTTTCTTGCCTTTAGATCTTTTCCCAAACCTCAAGTCTCTTGATATTTGGGGATGCAAAAATCTAGAATCACTCACTGTTGTTTCAACTATAGATGCTACTCCTCCAAACTTCAAATCTCTTAACTCCATGTGCATAAGGCATTGTCCAAATTTCACATCATTTCCTAAGGGAGGATTTGCAGCTCCAAAGCTTAACTTGTTAACCATCAACTACTGTCAGAAGCTGAATTCCCTGCCTGAAAATATGCATGAGTTTATGCCAAGCTTGAAAGAACTTCAACTAAGAGGTTGTCCACAAATTGAGGCATCTACAATGAGGCCACTAAGGATTCGGATTAGTAATAAATTCATGGAAGGGAAACAAAACCATTCTGATCCTCTCTTTGCAAGGTTAGAAGGTCTAGTATCTGTTCACAGTCCCTCATCAAGTTAAACGCCGCCTTTCGTTGAAACAAATATGCAGGAAAGTGTAAAATTGTAATATAGTATCACCAATTGCATCAATAACAATGAATTTGATAAAAATTCAACTTCACTAGTCACTACTTCTACTAGAACATTGTTCCTATTAATAGCTAAAATAATTGCTTGATGGCTAAGTTATCTGGCCTAATTGAATGTTTCAGCAGTGCATTTAGAACATGTTTGAGACAAAAAGTCTATAAGCACACATGGAGTAAAGGGTGTTTAACTTTGATACAAACCAATTCATATTTAATATAATTATTTAAACTTCATTCAAATATTTTTCTTACTTCATAAGTAATTTGAATTAAGTAGTGATTTGAAGCACCTAGGAAGTCAAACATTGAGTTATTATTAGAAAATTTCATTGCAACTCAAACTCAACAAAACAAAGAGTTCACCAACCAAAACGTACACACGAGTGAATTGTTGAAACAAATGGAAAGCAAGCTGGATGCAATGGCTACTCATACCAAAATGCTAGAAACCCAAATTTCTCAAGTAGCCCAACAACAAGCATCAACAACAGCCCCAGCCGAAGTATTTCCTGGCCAACCGCAATCTAATCCAGAAGGTCATGCCTCCACCACCATATAAATAACCTATCCCTTATCCTCAAATACTTGCTAAGTCTAAAAATAAAGGGAAATTTAAGAAATTTGTAGAGCTTCTTAAACAACTTAGTATCACTATACCTTTTATAGAAGCTATTAAACAAATGCCCTCGTATGATAAATTGCTCAAAGAGATCCTATCTAATAAGAAAAAGCTAGAGGATAACGAAACCGTTACACTTACTGCAGAGTGTAACACTATAATTTAAAATAATATGCCTCTGAAATTAAAAGATCCAGGTAGTTTTTCCATACCATGTGTAATCGGAAAATGTGTCATAGACAAAACCCTATGCGACTTAGAAGCTAGTGCCACTCCAATGCCCCTTTCTATATGTGAAAAACCTAAATTAGGAGAAGTAAGACCATCGAGGATGTCTCTATAACTAGATGACCATTTTGTCAAATTTCCTTTAGGTATGCTAGAGAACGCGCCCATTCAAATATGTCAATTTTATATCCCTACTGAATTCATAATAATGGACATAAAGGAGGATTCCAACATTTCCATCCTATTAAAAGACCCTTTTTGGCCATTGCGGGAGCCATCGTAGACGTGAAGAAAGGAAAGCTAACCTTCGAGGTTGGTGAAGATAAAGTTGAATTCATTCATTCACAATTCCTAAAGGCAACATCTATAGACGATTCATGTTGTTCACTAGATATCGTTGACGAATGTGTAAGAGAAATGGGGATGGAACAATCTAAGTATACTGAAATACTAAAGACTCCAACACCTCCTATAATAGAAGATGATGACTGATGTAAACCATACATAAATGATAGTCTGAGGGAATGTTTAGCACTAACTCCAGACTCATTGCCTTGTCCGAAGAAACCTTATGTGAAACTTAAAACACTACCCAAAAATCTAAGATATGAATTCCTTGATACAGAGCTTGAACGCCCTGTAATAGTCAACCAGACTTAGGACAGATAGAAATTGAGAAACTATTGTGAGGGAAAGTTGTCTCAATACTTTTTTTAATGATATCAAAACATATCTAGTTAGTAATTTGTACTTTGGAAGGTATCATCGAGTCGCATATGCATTCGTAGTTCTCTCGTGTACAAGCATTTGTCAAAAACATGTGTCTATTCATATAGAAAAGCATTATATGTGTTTTGTGTAACCTTGATCATGTCGATAGACTTAGAAGTGCCTTAGAAGTACTTAGATATAACAAGACATGTCAAAAATAACATTTTTGGAAGTTCTGAGCATTTGAGTCAACTCAAATCCCTTCTTAGGTCGACTCATACATAGTGAATTTTAAGGATTTGCTCTCAGAACTGCTCGCGCCGACCCTTCTGTCGACTCATACTGTTAGCATTTCAACTTGCCAAAACGGGGCAGGTTTGCATCGACACATAGACCTGTTCTGGTCGACGCGTAGAGTTAGTTTTTGCCTAATTTTGAAAGCGTGAGTGCTCAGTGTCGCTTGCGCGAAAATAAGGTGCCGGCATGACAGAAGAGTCGCCACCTTTCGTTATTTATCCCTCAGAGCGGGAAAGGAAACGATCGGAAAAACCTGACGAAAAAGGGTAAGACAAGGTCATCGCAACCATTGTCTGGGTTCGGGAGTCGGTTACGCAAGGGGAAGGTATTAGCACCCCTCACGTCCGTCGTACTCGACGGGATCCTCGCTTGTTTGTTTACTTGGACGGGTTGGTTATAATCTATCTACCTATCAAGGCTGGCTGAAAAAGAAAAGAAAAATGACTCGGCAAAGCGTCACGCTTTATGCCTACGTATTCCCGTCTGGAACGAGAAATCAGAGTCAACGTAGTTCGGCTAACTACGGGGGATTACGGGGGAAAGGTTGCTCGCTAGGATATCGCATCCTATGCCTACGTACTTTCATCTGGTATGAAAGATCAGAGCAAACGTAGTTCGGGAAACTACGAGTTATCTCCTAAAAGAAGTGTTTTTTATTATGTTTGCGATTTCAACCGCACTAGAGACTATGACCTGAGAGTGAATGCGTCGCATGTCACCCACGGGGTACCATACTAAACATCCGATCTCAGATAGCTTAAGGCTCGTAACGTACGAAAGAAATCATTCATGATTACTGTATCTTAAACTGCTTCGAGATGAGAAGAGAACAGGCCCAACTAGGAGGGAGACTATCAAGTCCTACTGTTATCATGCCATGGATTCATCCTATGGTTGAGGTTTGAACAGGGAACTCCTAGATGTTGTCATGCATAGGTTTCAACCTAAAAGTCTATCATCAAATCCTCATCAGAGGAAATGAGAGTCCTAAGGGATCATGTCAATGATACACCAAACAGACAAAAGCATCAGCTTTAACAGTAAAATGCATGCAATGCAAGTGAGGGAGGAAATGTGTGTGGGGCTTCAGCCTCCACAAGCTCGTCTCGACCTCAAGCCAGTCATGAAATAACAGTAATCATACTGAAGATAAACAACATGCTATCAAGCAATGAACAAATAAAGGAAATGAAGTGCCATCAGGCAAACAAAACACAAGCTTGAGAAAGAAAGGATCTACTCTCTAATCCTAACCCTAACACAGAATCTGAATCAAATCTAAGCAAAGCCCTAAAGCAAAACCTAACCAAAAGAAAAAACAATCCCAATCTTCAAGCTTCAAAACAAGCTTACCAAAGAAAGGGAGCTAAGTAAGCAGACTCATAGTGTCTTCCTCAGGAAAGCACTAGGAGGTGTATACTCAGAAGTCATACCCTATGTGGCTCAACCACTGTGATCAGTTTATATTCCTCCTCAGGAGAAATTAAACTCACAAGCAGGCTCCAACATCACTGGATATTTAGGAAAATCCTATCTGAACTAGTGGAACTAAATGAACAGACTCATAGGACCTTCCTCAGGAAAGTACTAGGAGGCTTCCACTTAGGAGTTGTATCCCATGTGGCTCAACAACTGTGATCAGTTTACATTCCTCCTCAGGAGAAATTAAACTCACAAGTTGGCTCCAACATCATTGGATACTTGAGAAATCCTAGATAAACTAAGGGAACTAAGTGAATAGACCCATAGGACCTTCCTCTGGAAAGTACTAGGAGGCTTCCACTTAGGAGTTGTATCCCATGTGGCTCAACAACAGGTGATCAGTTTACGTTCCTCCTTAGGAGAAATTAAACTCACAAGTTGGCTCCAACATCATTGGATACTTAAGAAAGAGGTGAGAAGAAAGAATGAAAGTCATTCATAGTGCCTTCCTCAGGAAAGTACCATGAACTCCCTTCAAACTTCAGGATCTCAAACCTCACAGACAGGGGACAAGCCAAGCTCTGGGTCTATGAGTCTTGATCTACAATCTTCTCTTCATGATGCTCTCCAACAAGGTCTTCAAGACAACACAAGCCCCACAACAAATTCCCCAAAAACAACCCCCCAGAGATGAACAGATAACCACAGCACAGACAAAATCATCAGGCAACTTCAGAAAATACCTAAAAATACTAAACCAAGGGGGAAAAATCTAACAATTATTCACAAGGGTCTACAATATCTATCCATAACATCCACATAGGCCTCTACCCAAAAATCAAGACAAAACTATTTAAAGAAAATGAATTTCCTCACCTATGCACAACCTAAACCCTAATTAGGATACCCTAAAGCTACCCTAATTAAACTAATCGAATTCTAATCTAAAAATCTAGAATAAATCCTATGGGGAACTATGATTCATCATCTAATTACACAAAAAAGAATGAGCTAAAAAACCTAAGGGAGAGCCCTAAAACAATTCTTGCAAAATAAGGTATCAACTAAAAGAAAGAAAATACACTATATTAAAGAAAATATCACCAAAAATTCTATATTAAAAATAAAATTCCATTTTTATTTTTATTATTTTCTACACATTTATATCTAATTATAGCAAAAACAAGAAATCAAAAATGATTATTTTTCATTTATTTATGATTTTTACAACTGCAAGAAAAATATTAAAAGACTTAAAAAGAAAATAAAACAATTAAAGGGGAGGGGGTGCGAGTAGCAGGGCTCACTAGTTCATTTTTTATGGGCCAGAAATTGGGTGGGGTGCGAATAGGAAGCAGATAAGCCCAGGCGCGTTACTTAACAAAACGCTGCGTTCCATTTTCAAATTTTCCCTCCGCTTCTCCAAGCGATCTGGGCCGCTGGATTGAGGGACGAAGTCAAAATCTGGGGACTGATCCTATGGTGGACAGCCATCGTCCCAAACGAAACCCTAGGGTTTTGCAGAACCCCACTCCATGCACTAATCTTTCCTCTCCTCGTTCTCTCTGCTCAGTGGATGAAATTCCACGATTCCAAAACGAAAAATCATCTACTAATCAAGAGGAACACAACCATACGTACCATTTTCCCTAA